ATAAAAAATTTGACAAAATAAATTATACATATGAGATACTTATATATTAATATATTAATTATGATTAATATATTAATTAAATATATTAATATATGAAGATATAAAATATAAATATAAAATATATTAATATAAGATATAAAATATAAAAAAATTATACTCACATGTCTCATTGCAACTTCACCAATCTTTGGTGAATATTTTCTGATATTTTCTAGAAAATCTCGTAAATCAGACATAGAAGCATCTTTTATATTTTCTCGCAATCTGACAAATAAAAAATAATTATATTATAATTCTTATTTTTTTCTCTCTTTATGTGTAACAGGAAAATATTTCCAAATAATGCTTCTAATTAAACTTACTGTGGTATTTGTTGTGTGATTTGAAAAGAAAATCTATAATTTGTAACTCTTGGCAAATCATGATGTTCTAACTGCTCCAGTGTTTTCAATGCTGGATAATAACGCTTATCCTTTAATTGCTTTTGCAACTTTGCATATGCAGCTAAGACAGGAAGACACACAGTAAGACTGTTAACAGCAGCAGCCATATTACTTTCAACCTTGCGAGCTTTTACGAGTTCTTCACCCATTTCAATCACTTTGGTAGATGTAGCAGTAATATGTTTATCAAGCTCTAATATTTCTGTCTGTTTTAAATATTAAAAAATAATCTTTTTAATATATATATTTAATATAACTAAGTTTATAATTACATAATATTACTGTGCAATTAAATTGTTATCATATTTTTATATTACTTTCAAAGCACAATAAAACTAACATTTAATTGTTGAGCTTGAGAGCGAACTTGTAAGAGTTCCCGAATAGAATCAATAAATCCTTGATAATGATGATTGCACATCCTCTCAATATCTTTATCATGATTTTTAATACAATCATCAAGTTTTTCCATAAATTTTTGATGTTCTTGTCCATCATAAATTGCTCTATAACACAAAACATATATAATAATTTTCCTTTTCATCATCTTTAATCATTTCTTAAGTACTTTAAGTATCATTTTTTTATTGTAATAATATCTGAAAACAAGATGGATATATTAATATCAGTAAAATCTATTTCATAAAATATTTGTATTTGAAATATAATACTATATGATTAATTGATGTTCTTGATATGTATCCTATAAATTTATTTAAAATATAAATTATATACAGATTTATTACTAATTCTCTTCAAACTATCAAGTATATATGTGTGTACACACACACACACATACACACACACTCGATAGTTTTTTTGAAGAGAATTATTCTAGCTTACTTCAAGTGCTTTTCAAAACATTATCATGAAGTAGTATACTATCATAAAGTTTTTTCATTGAGTACTTTTCGAGTTATGATGCTTGAAATAATTTCTTAATTTTACATAAACCATAAAATATCTTGTAAAATATTCATTTTTCAATTATCTTACCTTAATACTTTTATGTACAAAATAATGAGAGGAATTAATTGGTGTAAAGAAAACACATAATTGTTTCGAAAAAAAATATAATTGTTAATTGCAACTGTTACTTACATATTTTTTCTTCAAACTTTTTTTTTTGAGAAGATATTGCTCTGACATCCTGTATATATACTTGATATATATATATATGTGTGTGTGTGTGTGTGTGTGTGTGTGTGTGTGTATACACACACATCATACATATATATATGGAGTGTGTGTGTGTGTGTGTGTATGTGTGTGAGTGATATGGTTATGTGTATTTGATATATGTCAATTTTGTTTTTAAACAAGGGGATGGTTTTTTTGAGAGCATATACTCCGATACAACTCATAAATTCATAATTTTACTTACCGGAATGTTGGACCCAAATAATCGTCGATGCATTCAATTTCTTGAATCAGAATATCATATCGCTGCATCATTGTCAAGTTCGAAAACCGTTAAAACTAATTAAAATACAAAACATATATAAAAGATAAGGTTACAAGCATCTATATGTGACACATTATCCATATTATTAGCAGAAAGAAACCTGAAAACTGCTAAAACAACCTCTCGCTTGCAAAGAAAGGACTGATTGTGGGTGCTTTCCAGCAAGCAACACAGGCGACACTGTGTCGCTACAGTGTCGATACAAGTGCTTTCCAACTACGACACAAGTCGACACAATCGTACACAGCAAAAATGCTGTGTTCGCCTGTGTCGTCGTTTTGTAGCACCCCAGTGAGTGCCAACATAACATTTCATATTTGGTATCATTAATTTTTTTAAGAATGGTATTGCGTGATAGAAGATAACCAAACTTTTATATTCGCTAAAAAGACGACTTAAAGACATCTAGACGTCTTTAAGACGACATAATGTTGTGTGGGAACGTTCTGAAAATTTAGACCTAGTGACAACTATTAAAAGTGACTGCCCTGCACTCTAGTGGCAAAATAAGAAAGCTAAAAAGCGTTCCAGCTACAAGTCGACACTGTGTAACACTGTGTCACACAGTGTATCACTGTGTTACCATAGCTGGAAAGCACCCTGTATTCAGTGATGAGTGATGATAGGTAGGCTGCTGGCCGGGTGAGTTTTTCGCGCATGCACCGCGAACGCAGCGAAGTATCTAGTAGAAGCAAAAGGTGTGTCACTGGTCGCCCTTAAATAAATTTCTGAAGGAAAATTTTTAGAAAATTTTTACGAGCGACCAACAGCATACTTTCATTTCATTAATCATTTTTCTCGCTGTACTTTAAAACAGTACGACCTCAGCTTGCCCGCCAAAACTTTGGCGCCCATAATCCGCGATACACCGTTGCTTTCTTGTGATTACTACTGCGCATGTGCGAAAAACTCACCCGGCCACAGTAGAGAACCTCTAGGAGAGAGAATGGACAACTGATCATGTGACATGTGATCAAGCTTTTTCATGATTGGCTGGCAGAAAATGTATCAATTTTAGCTATTGCGACGCCAATGCAAAATATGATACACACAAATAGGTTAATATATGTGTGTCATGTGTGTCCTATTTGTGTGTCATCATATTTTGCATTGGCGTCGCAATAGCTAAAATTGATACATTTTCTGCCAGCCAATCATGAAAAAGCTTGATCAGTTGTCCATTCTCTCTCCTAGAGGTTCTCTAGGCCACAGTAGAGAGTCTACAAAGTGGCGACAACTGGGTGCCACTTCTGATTGGTCCGCCAGGTTTTCAAATTTATCTAAATTTTATATTGAGTAAATGAAGTGTTTAAATTAAAAAATTAAAATAGGAAATAAATAGATATATATAAAAAATTATATTGTTGCATATTGCACATTGTTAAACATGAATTTTTAGCTGGTATCCAGTTTGCGTATTTATTATTTATATTACTAATCCATTGATTTCGACGTTGTACATCTCTTGGTAATATTTTCATACTATATCCCTTGTCTGAAAAATTAGTACAAAAATCGTACAGCCAACCATTTTATAATAATTTTGACTTTTAATATAAGTATGATAGAGGAAATGCTGTCAATTTTCGCTTAACCTCACTGACATAACACTGACAGATAGAGTTACAGACAAAGACCGCATATGTCTCTTTCTCTTTCGCACATCTCTTTCTCTCTCTTACATATTTCTTTCTCTCTCGCACAATTTCGATAAAAAATGGCGGATCTCTTCTGATGTCGTCACTCTGATTATAGGCTCTCTAGACCACAGTAAAGACCCTTGCGCCGTTACATTTCACATTGACGGCGGCATTAGAAACAAAATAACTTGGCGGCGGCGGATTCGCCGAAAATTTTCCTTTTGGTGGCGGCGTAATCGGTGAGTGATAATTTATCGACGGCGGCGGCGAATGGCGGCGTGAATACATTTTTTAAAAATAAAAAACTCAACTTTAAAATATTTTAATAAATAAGCTTGGAAAATTAAAATATAATATATATATTTTTTAATTATATTTTCATATATATTATAAATATATTTTCATATATTTCACATATATTATAATATTTTCATATATTTAAATTAGATTTATCATCATATATATATTATAAATTTTCATATAATATATAATATATACATATAACAATATATATCACAATATATCACTAATATTGTTTAAAGTCGGATCTACATTGGGTGTGTTTCGAGGTCGCATCGCTACAGTAGCGCTACTGTAGCGCTACATAAGCGTGTTTCACGTTATTAAAGCGCTATAGTCTAGACAGCACACATGTCCAAAAAACATCTAAAAGACGATTTAAAAACGTCTTCTAGAAAGTCCTCTAGATATCTTTTAAGGCCGGTATTTATAGTCCGATCTTATATTTAAGATCGTCTTAAGTCTGCTTGGAGGTTGACTTAAGACCTCATTCAACCAATCAAATAGCTGCATTTCAAGCTCGAACTTAAGACGATCTCAAATATAAGATCGGACTATGAATACCGGCCTTTAAGACATCTTTTGGGCTTTTTGTGCTGTCTGGGTAGCGCTATAAAAGTACGTTTCAGGACTTTCTGCTACAATTGTAGCGGTCGCCATTTTTTTCTGCTACAATTGTAGCAAAAAAGCTGAAGCGCTACTGTAGCGATGCGACCCCGAAACACACCCATTGGTATCGTAACGTCACAAGTCATAAATCGTAGGCAAATTGACCAATCATGGTTGATTATTTTTGAAATAATCAACCATGATTGGTCAATTTGTCTACGACTTATGACTTATGACTCATTGTAGAACGGGCCGAACAGGCCTAATTTTTCGCACGATTTCGAAAATAGGGCCTCCGATTAGTTGTCGTAAATGAGACACTTCCGATTAGACACAGTACAATTGGGCACAACTGGCTTTGATTGGCTAATCGTGCTTGATCGTGCTGGTTACCCTAGGCATCGGTCGATATGATTGGCTGTGTCTAATCGTACTGTGTCTAATCGGGCAATCCCCGTCGTAAATATCCTGTCTCTTTCTAACTTATTTCACTAGTGCAGCAGTGCAGCTAAAAAGAACAGACCCTCTGATTAGAGAGTCTCTATACTGTGCAAGAGCTTTTATTTATTTGTGTGTTGTGTGTCGCGTATCATTCTTTTCAACTTTTCTTCCAGAGAAAAATAACTCATAGAGTACATCAAGATAAATTATAATAGTTGTTTATAAAGATTGAATTATAATAATTGTTTAGTAAAGTAAAAATTGTTATTTTATCTTTGGTTAAAGAGATAATGAATGACAATATATTTCTCGATATTGATGACTCTATCAAAATGAAAAATTTGTTATTATCGGTAAATATATGATAAATATATATTAAATTAATATTAATTTAATATACATAAAATAAAATTAATATTAATTTAATATACATAAAAAATTACTAGAATAACAAATATTTAATCTATCCAACAGGATAAAAATAAAGATGCTTTAAATCAGCAGATGGACGAATTAATGAAACAATTTGATTCAAAAGCATCTATTCTTGTGCAACCTACTCCTGGTTTGTATAATATTGCTCTGTACATTGTTTAACAAGAATTTTTTCCGCAATATGATTGTAGGTATCTGTGTGAAAACTAAAACAACTGATAAAAGAAAGATTTTTGTAAACATATGCATATCTGATAAAATTCCACCACCAGACGATATATCCGATACTAAACTATTTGAACTTTTAAATGATGAAGTACCTAATTATATTATACCAATGAGTATATGTGGTGAAAAAATGGAAACTGATAAATGTAATGACAATCTCTTGATTTCTTTCAATATTAGAATGATATGTATGAGTCATCTTATAAGTATTTGTAAATTTGTATTTTGCTTTTTTTATAGCTGGTACACCCAGTGCAACATATGATGTCATGATAAATGAAGCATATTTTAAAAAGTGTCAAGAGAAAAAACATTTTATGGCATTTACAATATTAGTCATACTAAGTGGAGTGGCAGATAAATTTGATAAAAAACTTGATGCAGAAGATTATATTATTCTTAAAAATCGAAAGGTAAGTGTTAATTATATAAACATTTATATAAAGTATATTAATGACTAATATTTTAGGTAATGGGAAAATTGCAACAGCATAGAATAGAAAATCGCGAAATTAAAAAGTTACAAAATCACATGCCATTGATTGAAGAAATGTCAGGTTCTATGACACCTATCATTAACACAATTAATGTACAAAATAATGATATAGCAAGAATGAATTATGTAATTTTAAAAAAACCATTAAAAGGTTCAGCTGAACATTTAATAGTTTTATTTGACATGCCAAGAAGCGTAAGCCATAAAATTATTAAATATAATTTATCTTATAGATTAAATATTAAATGCTTTTTTTTACTTACAGGTTTCAATTGAGGATATAGTAGTATTGATTAACTCTGATCATATGAATATTACAGATAAGAAAGCTTGTTGTTATGATATTTTATTTCCATATATTCTTGAAGCAAATAGTGCAAAAGCCTTTTTAGATTGTAAAATTATGGTAAGAAAGTATATTTTTTTAAATATTATATATATTGTATTATTATATTTATATATATTGTATACATATTAATTTATTAATCCTTAATTTTTTTCAGGTATTACGTGTAGATTCATTAATAAAACAAAAATAAAAAATGAGTACTAAAATATTATTTTATCTTTAGTTACTTTTAAAAAACTTTGTTAATTTTATCAAAATAATTAATTTTATTATATTTTACAGTTCAAAACTCTTAATTTTTAACTTAAAAAAAAAAATATATATATATATGTATATTACATATTAAATAATAAATTTCTCTTTCTAGATCTAGATTTTTTGCTAAAATTATAAAAATATGTAATGAATAAACAAGATATAAAATATATTTCATAGAGCAATATAAATTGAATAAATTACATAATAAATTTTTTACATTTCTGTATAAAATCCCGGTCGTTCAATACCTATCGTACTAAAAACTTGTGGCAACAAATATACTGTAGTTATTCCTATCATGAAACATGCTACGTATTTGTAAATTAGATCGACGAACACTTTATTTTGATTTCCATTATAATCTTGGCATTTCATAAGTTCCTTGCAATTAATTCGTAATATGGCACATACTATAGTGTAACTAAGACATTTGCAGAGAACTTTTGTTGTAATAATAGTAGAAAAACCAAGTACAGTTCTAAGAATTAGATGACCAAGCATAGAATATGTTGGCCAAACAATATGATAGGGTGGTGAAATCGACGAAGCACTTAATACACCATTATAATGACTAAGCCATGCTCCCATGTGAATTCCTGCTGTGACTGACATAACCATAGCAGTGTCACTTCTGAAATAAACCAAAATGATATGTAAAAAGAAAAAAATTAATTGCTTATATATAATTATAATATTAATCATATATAATACCAATACTTATCTATACCTAGTAGGTGTCCATTTATCATTGAGTGGATAATATACAATAACAATGATACTGATCACAATTAAAATTGCTGATAACCAAAAATTCGTAATGATATAAGAATTTGTTATGTCTACTAAAGGTACCAATGGAATCATTAATACAATTGTTAATATTAAGCCAATTACAATATCTAACACAGTGTGCATACCTAGATAGAGTCTGCTCATACTGACAAGTATACACCTAAAAAAATCTTATATTACACAATTCCATTATTTTACACATTAATACAATTTTACTAATACAAACATTAATAAGTAACTAATAATAAAATATCTTTACAATATATAAACTTACCAAACTAAAGCAATAAAATAGCCAACAAAAAATGGATAAATATATTTATTCATTGTAAATGATACTATGGAAAATGGAATCGCAAAACCGACCATAGCATGAGTAGATGGCATTCCATATTCTTGTGACCATTTGTTTTGTAATCTAACTGCTGGAGGACATGCTGGCCTGGGCCAACAAATTATATCTTTTAATACCTGTCCTAAGAATATATAACAAATTTAAGAATAATATAACATTTTATATTAATGTATTTAAAGTATAATATATATATATATATATATATATATATATATATATAATATACTTATATATATATATATATAAAATATATATATAATATATATATAATATACATATAATATATATAATATTTATATATATATATATATATATATATATATATATATATATAAAGGATGTTTCATTTTAATCGCCCCAGCCAAATATCTAAAAAAAAAATTCAAATTATGAAAAAATGTTTCGGACAAAAGTTGTATGGTTTCGAGGGGCCCATAAGATAGTAACATTGGTTTGACTTTGAACAGTCATTTGAAGGTCACATAAAGGTCACCTTAAATTTCTTAAATGGAATCTACTATTTTTCATTGCATATTCTTGTATCTTATCTCGAGAGCTTTCCAAAACACTATAATAAATTATTTTTTCATGAAGTACTTTTCGAGTTATAAGGCTTGAAATCATTTCTTAATTTTACATAAACCATAAAATATCTTGTAAAATATTCATGTTTCGATTATCTTACCTTAATACTTTTATATACAAAATAATGAGAGGAATCAATTAATGTAAAGAAAACACATAGTTGTTTTTAAGAAAAAATATGTAATTGTTAATTGCAAATTACATATTTTTTCTTAGAAACAACTATGTGTTTTCTTTACACTAATTGATTCCTCTCATTATTTTATATATAAAAATATTAAGGTAAGATAATCGAAACATGAATATTTTACAAGATATTTTATGATTTATGTAAAATTAAGAAATGATTTCAAGCCTTATAACTCGAAAAGTACTTCATGAAAAAATAATTTATTATAGTGTTTTGGAAAGCTCTCGAAATAAGCTACAAGAATATGCAATAATATATAGGATGTTCCATTTAAGAAATTTAAGGTGACCTTTATGTGACCTTCAAATTACTGTTCAAAGTCAAACCAATGTTACTATCTTATGATCCCCTCGAAAACCATACAACTTTTGTCGGAAACATTTTTTCATAATTTCCATATTTTTCGAGATATTTACCTGGGATAATTAAAATGAAACATCCTGTGTATATATACAGGGTGTCCCATTTTAATGCCCCACCCCAAATAACTTTCTTATTTTTAATTTTAGAAAAAGATGTTTCAGACAAAAGTTGTATGGTTTCGAGGGGGACATAAGATGGTACCATTAATTTGATCTTGAAGAGTCACATGAAGGTTACGTGAAGATCATTTTCAATTTCTTAAATGGAACACCCTATATATTTTTGCATATTCTTGTAGCTTATCTCGAGAGCTTTCCAAAACACTATAAATAAACATTTTTTCATCAAGTACGTTTCGAGTAATGAGGCTTGAAATCATTTCTTAATTTTACATAAACCATAAAATATCTTGTAAAATATTCATTTTTTGATTATCTTACCTTAATACTTTTATGTACAAAATAATGAGAGAAATCAATTGGTGTAAAGAAAACATACAGTTGTTTTTAAGAAAAAATATGGAATTGTTAATTGCAAATTACATATTTTTTTCTTAAAAACAACTGTATGTTTTCTTTGCACCAATGGATTTCTCTCATTATTTTGTACATAAAAGTATTAAGGTAAGATAATCAAAAAATGAATATTTTACAAGATATTTTATGGTTTATGTAAAATTAAGAAATGATTTCAAGCCTCATTACTCGAAACGTACTTGATGAAAAAATGTTTATTTATAGTGTTTTGGAAAGCTCTCGAGATAAGCTACAAGAATATGCAAAAATATATAGGGTGTTCCATTTAAGAAATTGAAAATGATCTTCACGTAACCTTCATGTGACTCTTCAAGATCAAATTAATGGTACCATCTTATGTCCCCCTCGAAACCATACAACTTTTGTCTGAAACATCTTTTTCTAAAATTAAAAATAAGAAAGTTATTTGGGGTGGGGCATTAAAATGGGACACCCTGTATATATATATATATATATATATATATATATATATATACATATATATATATATACTATTTTATTCTTAATAATAAATTGATTTTACCAATAGTCATAACAATGGCCCATACTAAGACTACTCTTCGACCAACTGCTCCATCAATATTCCAAAATAAGAAAGGTATAAATGACGAATAAAAGATTTCGTCTCCTAGTTCAGTTCCAAATAAAAATAGATAATACCAAAATGAATTGGTAATTGTATAATGTGGATTTTCTGAAATTGTTGAAGTTTCTTCTTTGCTCATTGATTCATTTTTTTGCTGTTTTAAAAATTCCGTTTGCTCTATGGATCTATTGAATTTCTTCGAACTGCTTATACAGTTATTTATTTTTATATTATGACAAGTCAAAATATAATTTTCTTCATTATGATCAATATAAATACGTCCTCTTTTTTCAGTTTTTTGAGTTATTTCATTAGATTTAAACTTCTTAAAATGTTTATTATAATATATTTCAATACCAAAAAATTTTTGAATTGTTGCAACTAGTTGAGGATCTTTTAAATAATTAATTAACTTCAATATCATTCTGATTAAAATTAGAGAGAGAAAGAGAAAACAAAAAGAAGTTAATCAATTTTAAATTAATCTTCTTTTTAAAAGAATTAATATATCTCTCTTATAGTCGAATGCATCCCACCAAGTAATCTGTATAAATGTTAATAATGTTACATGTTGTAAATATGAGATAATTTGCACATAAATAATGTAAGTAAGTTCAAAAAATAAATTTTCGGTGAATATGCAAAACTTTTCGCTTACCAATTTCAATGAAATTTTATTCATATATATACATATATATATATATATATATATATATATATATATATTTTTAGTATGTGTAGAATAATGTTATAATAATAAGTAAAATTTCACTTATTTCACAATATAAAGACAGTATATACATAAAATAAACTACTGTAAATGACGTTTTGTAAGGTTAGGAAATCTGTCATATCGACCGAATTTGGTCCATCAAAATTACGGTCTAAAGCCTGGAGCACATAAAAAAACTCAGACAGTAAACTTAAGACTTGAACGAATCGACGGCCACTGCCTTATTGCTCGACTGTGATTGGTCGATTCGTTTAAGTCTTAAGTTTACTGTCTAAGGGCCTCCGCACAAGGTGTTCCGTACAGTGATGGTAGGCCGGGTGATTTTTTCGCGCATGCGCGGCGTTAACGAAGTATCTAGTAGAAGTAAAAAGTGTATCACTCGTCATCCTTAAATAAATTTCTGAGGGAAAATTTTTAGAAAATTTTTACGAGCGACCAACAGCACACTTTCACTAATCATTTCACTAATCACTTTTTCCGCTGTACTTTAAAACATTATAACATTCACTCGGGACTCGGGACTTCTTTCTAGCATCACCGACCTCAGCTTGCCCGCCAAAACTTTGGCGCCCATAATTCGCTATCTGATACACCGTTGCTTTCCTGTGATTACTACTGCGCATGCGCGAAAAAATCACCCGGCCTACCATTAGCCCGGGTCCACAATAGGTAATTTAAGCCCTAAGCCTTAAGAAATTGACCAATCACAGTCAAGTATGAAGAGAATATCTGACTGTGATTGGTCAATTTCTTAAGGCTTAGGGCTTAAATTACCTATTGTAGACCCGGGCTTACTGATTCCGTATCGTATTACGTTACGTTAAGTATAGATCGTAAATTTAACTCCGTACGTAAACTTAAACTTCAGTCAACGCACAGAAAAAATCGTAACGTAAAGATATGTCATGCGCGAAAAAATCACCCGGTCTACCATCACTGGCCCTAAGTCGTAGGCAAATTGACAATTATGGTTGATTATTTTTGAAATAATCGACTTGTGGTGTTAAGATACGACCAAGTAGATCCGGCTTTAAAGTCATTCTACAATGGCCGTAGCATAAAGTTATAAGGCGTAAGACTAAAAAAATTGACCAATCACAGTCGAGTATTCTCTTAATACTTGACTGTGATTAGTCAATTTCTTGAGTCTTAAGGCCATCACACACAAAATTGCATAGCTGCATATGCATAGCATAAGATCATATGGACTAATGAGCATCGAGTATTAAGTCGCCATATTGATTTATATAACATAATATTCGATACTCATTGGTCCATATAATCTTATGCTATACATATGCAGCTATGCAATTTTGTGTGTGATGGCCTTTATGCCTTACAACCTTATGCCACGACCATTGTAGAATGACCTTTAAAGCGTCGTCTACCTTAGACCATATAGAAATGGACTGCGCATTGCCTTTGTTTTGGCTGTTGCCAAGTTGGGGCAAAGAGAAAAAGATATAAAATCTGTGTGTATGACAAGAAAGAGACTAGGCCTTAAGACCCTCAGTTATATGGGGATTGCCTGATTAGACACAGTCCGATTAGACATAGGGTGCTTTCCATTTAGCAACACAAGTCGACACAAGTGTCATTCTATCTTTGTTTATTGTTATTCATTGAAAAAAGATAGAATGACGCTTGTGTCGACTTATGTCGCTAAATGGAAAGCACCAATAGATTGCCTGATTAGACACAGCCCGATTAGACATAGCCAATTATATCGACCGATGCCTAGAGTAATCAGCACGATCAAGCACGATCAGCCAATCAAAGCCAGTTGTGTCCAATTACACTGTGTCTAATTGGAGGTGTCTCTAGTTATATCACTTAGATTGCTGTCCTTGTCTATCAACTCGCCAGCAGTCCCAGCACTAACGCGCAGTCCATTTCTATATGGTCCAAGTCGTCTACAATGGCAATAGGATTAATGGATTAAAGCTGTAACTCAAGAAATTGATCAATCACAGTCGAGTATTCTTTTGATGCTTGATTGTGATTGGTCAATTTCTTAAGTTACTGCTTTAATCCATTAATCCTACTGCCATTGTAGGCGACGTGTAAAATCTCATTGTAGACACCGCATTAGCCGTTCAGTGAGTGGTTGTGGGTGTTTACGACACTAATCGGACTGAGCAGTGATACTCAGCGATAGACTTCCTAAATTTCGCTAGACTAATCCAGATCAATGATGTGTCTCTAGAGTAATCGAATTAGATTAACAGTCATTAATAGTGCGTTCGAAAATATGTTTGGTCGGTGCTGGGAAAAAAGATAAAGTTGGCAGTATTGAAAACTCCCAGTGCTGCGTTTTGTTTCTCCCATTGAAATTCATTAGGATTGTATTGTATCGTATGTACTATATATGAAAGTGTTGCAATTACATTAATTATTATTATGGAACAATATATTTTACTCGAAAACATCATTTTTTAATCTTTGAGTAGTTCTTCTTCAGATAGTGATGATAATAATGAAGAATTATAAAATATTTTATTCGAAAATAGAGGTAATAACAATAGAGATGAAAGGAAAATAATACAAAAAATGATTATTTGGAAAATGTTGTTACCAGATATAGTACTCCTATATTGCCAGTTCTGTAGGAGGAATGAACGAAAACATTACGATGCAGACGATAGCTCCTCTCTCGCACACTTCTCCGACGGTAGCACTTTTGCGCATGCGTCAAATATATATATGGCATATATATATATATATATATATATATATATATATATATAAATATATATATATTTGATGCATGCGCAAAAGTGCTACCGTCGGAGAAGTGTGCGAGAGAGGAGCTATCGTCAGCACCGTAATGTTTTCGCTCATTCCTCCTATAGAACTGGTAATATAGGAGTACTATATATATATGGGTCAAACTGATCGAGAAAATTGTGAAAAACATCATAAGAAAATATAGAAGATACTTTATTATTCTTTTAATTAATATATATTTATTTATCAAATATGTATTAATAAACAAATGTATTTTACTGGAATAAGATGTATAAAATAAGAATAACTCTATAAAATAAGAATAACTCTAAACCTCACTTTATTTTAATTATTAATATAATAAACAATATTAATTTGCAAAATAATACTACAAATAACAAAATGTATGTACGTAAACAATAATAATTAAATTTTACCATGAATTTCTTATTTATCTTGTAATTTTTGAAAGTTTATCAATTAAATATGTAATATGTGAAGTTTTTATTCGTTACAATATTATTTAGACGTTTTTTATTTAGAAAACATACATTGAAGATAATAATAAAGTACCTTCTATATTTTCTTATGATGTTTGTCACAATTTTTTCGATCAGCTTGACCGCAATTTCTTTCGATGATTGTTAATCTAATTCGATTACTCCAGAGACACATCATTGATCCGGATTAATCTAGGGAAATTTAGGAAGTCTATCGCTGAGTACCACTACTCAGTCCGATCAGAGATCCGATTAGTTGTCGTAAACACCCTGTGCTTCTGGATGCACCCAATATTGGAACATAACCTCCGGTTCCACCCGTATTGGCACATGCTGGTATTCTTTATTCAATGATCCAAGGTCCAAGCAGTTTTGTGAAATGATAAAAAGAGGCAAAACACTGACATACCGCTTTCAAGTTCCTCTCTGTACGGGCCACGGACTTTAAAGGCCTTTAAACTGGATCCACAATAGGTGTAATAAGCTTTGAGCCATAAAAAATTAATCAATCATATTCAATTAGTCTTCTTACATTCAACTGTGATTGGTCAATATCTTACGGCTTAAGGTTTACTACACCTATTGTGGGTCAAAGGTTAGATTACATCATGGAGTGACTCAAAACCGCTGTAAGAGCGGTAGTTGTAATTTTCAAATTTTTAGTATCATAAAAATGTTTTTAACTGTCCATAAATCCATTTCACCTGACTTCATCATGAAATAATTTCACTGAAAATGTATTAGGATTTAAAAAAACCCTCGAGGTCAATTTTATAATTATAAGAGAAAAAAGAGGTTATGCTGCACATGTGAGCTATTAATCTGTCTGCAGTAGCTCTTTACGTACATACTCTTTGCTAAAAAAATGTCGAATGAAAAGCCGTGTCGTGCTTGCACGGACTTTAGGACTTGGGCGAAACGTCAGAAAGAAGCCTATGACTCAGAGAAGGTAAACCAGTAATTCATAAAAATATTTATTAATAATGTTCAATAATCTTAGCTTGATATCTTAGCTTGATATCTTAGCTTGATATCTTAGCTTAAAAAATGCTATATAAAAATTACTCTTATTTCTTGAATATTTTATATATTCATATATATTTTATTTCATATATATTTCATTATATACACATATATATAAATATATAATAAAAAAACATACATGTAATCATGTACATCTTACAAAATAATAAAATACATATAATATATATTTTATATATTTTATTATTTTGTAAGAATTGCATATAATTATATATCATTATAATATTGTATTCACAAATTGTATTTTATATAGGAAGCACAGAAAAAACAAAACCAAACTTTAATTAGCAATAATGGTACTCGAGACAATTGCCCTTTAGACAAAGATGAATTAGGTTCAAAGTCTTGGGCCTTTTTACACACTATGGCTGCATACTATCCAGATAAACCAAGTGAAGAACAGAAGGCGGACATGAACAATTTCTTTCACATATTTTCCAAATTTTATCCTTGCAACATATGTGCAAAGGATTTGCAGGAACAATTAAAATATTCACCACCAGAGACTGACTCTCAGGAAAAATTGAGTCAATGGCTATGCAAACTCCATAATGAGGTAAACACGAAGCTTGGAAAACCAGAATTTGATTGTAAATTAGTGAATCAAAGATGGAGAGATGGCTGGCTGGATGGATCTTGTGATTGACGATAAATAATAATAGTATTTTCTAATGTACGATGGGACCTGAATATAAGTATGGATTATTGTAGATAATTATTTGTATCTTTATTGAACATAATTTATTGGCCTTAAATTTACACACACACATACACAAAATTGCATTATATGTACATATAAAAAATGAAAATTGACAACAATACATTTTCTTAAAAAATTTGTTACGCCCATCTTTTTTCCTAGATAAAATAGAATAAATAAATTGAAAGGAATTAGGCTATATATGTATTTAAACAACATGATAAGAAACTAGCGAATAAGAGCCACCGCGGATGGTAATACGTAAATTTTAATTGTTCGCGAAAATTTAAACGTGCACGAGGCATATGCATGTTTTACTTGCATTTACCAAGATATAGATTCTCATTTTTGAGAATTTTATAAACCCTCTTTACCCCCCCCCCCCTTTAAAATAGAATAAACTTTTCATTTTATTAAAATAAGAAACAATTTAAAATAGTATTATGCGCTTTATTATAAATATCTTTGTGACAAGATAAGATAAAGGTCATATAGATTCCAAATTGTTTACATAGAAGTTTTTGCCAATATAGAAGCAAAAAATTCAGTATTATTAACATTATTTGATTATCCAAATTAGGACGTCTATTTTAAGATTCAATCCAAAAATGCATACATTGCCATGCATCTCATTACACTATGTATGGTAAAAAAATATACTAATATCACAAAAATTTGTTTTTCTTCAGTAACCACTTAAATAAGAGTGTGTTCCATCAATAGTGATACATTTCTATTTACTATTTTTTTTTCTCATGATTGATTAAGGTAAGCTGGTGTTTGCGTGATAGTAAATGCCGTAACTGCAGCTCGAGAACCAGGCTCGTAGCTGTGATCTTGTCCATGACCACCTATAGGCACAACTTGACATGTCCTAATGTGGAATGGAAACCGTTTATTATTTACAGATGGTCGAGTTACATATAAAAACGTTATGTGACCCAAGAAGACAATGCAAAGGGAACTTCCTTTAGCGACGCTCTCTCTCACCCATTTATCCACAAACAGAGTGATGGTCAATATCTATAAAAGATAAAATATACATTACATATAAAACTTTATAAAATGTAAAATGTTTTGTTCCAATAGTATACTTATACATAAAAATGACCAGAAATTACTTTAAAATAAAATTAATATGTGAATATACCGTTAGCGGGTGACAGAGGAACCACATTGATCCCAAGATAATTAGCGAAAAATAGAAATGGAGTTTTGTGTTCAGTTTCCTAATGGTCTTGAAACAACGAGTGACGAATACGAACCAGGCGATCAATTTCAATGCTATTATTCCATAGCCCGGTGGCGATTCATAAATATACAACACCAATCCGGGGTCGAATATCTCAGATTGATATATATACAATGACATTTGACAGCTGGCAGTAATACTAATAAACAGTATAAGCCATCGGACTTGGGACGGCGTAAGGACACTTTTGGTAACTGTGTAACCAAGCGCAAGCAGCAACATGAGCACCGTGTACAGAATTTCGGAGCATGCTCCCGACAGCTGACCCAATAAATGAGCGTTCTCGGCTAGCGCTCCCCTTAAACCAAGATTAACGTAACTGTAAATCTCACACAACAGGCCCAACAATTGACACAACACGGAAATCATAAACAACTTGTAGGATATATGCAGTAGTCTCCTCGAACGTAATTGCAATGCTACGTAGAAACTGAGCGTAGTGACTATCACATAAATACATGCAGTCGCTATCAGCAGCGGCAGTATATCTGCAAACAAGAACAGACACAATTAAGGAACGCTACTCTGAGTTTCGTCGATTGTCATGAAAGTCAAATTACTTGCAGAATTCGTCCGCGGAGAAGTGTTCCTTCCAGAATGTACCGATTGGAGCGTTAGTCAACGATATCCAGTATGTGACATTCAAGCCTGTCTTGGAAGAGCAGTCGGCTAAAACTACGAACCACCATCTCGGCCGTGCCGAGATAAATCTCCTTTGACTATCGCATCGAATTATACCGTCATCATCCTTCTTGCATCCCGATAAGTGTAACGATGTGTTCAAGGGTATTATTTGACCGTAATCAATATTAAGGATACTTTCTTTCTCTCGGCATGTTTTGTTGGAAGGATAGACAGTGGGCCATTGATGAGGTCCATCGTAGTAAAGCAACAGATTTAAATCGCGCTCCTCACCTCCCAATTGAAAGTGGTATCGGAAAGTGCCGCGTTCCGTTAAAAAACAGAATCTCGCGACAAATGCCCAATTCTGAAAATTCGTCATTTCCATATATTATATATATATATTTTTTATTTATATTATCTATCTATACCACAATTTTTTTTATCAAAGCTTGTTATTTTATTGGAAAAATAATAACAATGTAAAACTGATCTTGTGCATCAGTCAATATTATATTAATCGATAATAAGAATAACTGTAAAAATATTTTTTATATTACTTCTCTCATTACATTTAAAAACTTTTTATGATACGTAATAAAATGTATATATATATAAAGTATATAAATTATAGGCGTTTTTTTAAAATTGTTTTTAATATGATATTTCGAATCGTATCAAAACATAAAAAATACAATTTAAATTTTCATTGATTAATTTTTATATATTTTATATTAAATCATAATAATATTTTTATATTATTTTACTATTATTTAGAAATTTTTCTGTAATATATATAACAGAGTATATAAATTATGGAATTTTTAACCATTGATTTGCCGAAATTTTTAACACGATGTTCCAAACTATTATAACAAAAAAAAAAATACAAAATTAAATAACATCATACCCGAGAAAAGAGCAATTAAGAGCCACCGCGGATGGTAGTGCGTAAAATTTTAAAGATTAGTAATTCGCGAAAATTAAAACGCGTGAACTTCTCGCTTACGTCTCTTCAGGGGGGGTAAAGAGAGGTCTTATAGTATTCTCGGAATTGAGAATCTATATCTTGGTTAATGCACCAAGTAAAATATATGCATATGTCTTTCACGCGTTTTAATTTTCGCGAATTACTAATCTTCAAAATTTTACGCACTACCGCGGTGGCTCTTAATTGCTCTTTTCTCGGGTATGATGTTGTTCAATACATAACAGAGCCTAATTTCTTTATTTATTAATTTGACAAAATTAAATCTTCGATGATTAAATTTTGCGTATTTTATATATTTAATCTACATAAATTTAATGAAAATTTATTCAGTTTAGTCATGTTTCAGTTATAACAAGTGATTTTTTTACGCTCAATTATTACTGATGTTTTCAGAGGGATAAATTGCCTCGTTATAAAATCGCGCGATTTTTTTTTCACTTGTCACATTAATCAGTTGATATATACAATTACCTCGCGTGTCATCAAATCACCACGAAGTATCTTGGCATCAACGTGTCGCAATAACGGCAGATGCGCGATCGAGAAGAGCAATAATAAAAGGCCCAGTTTCGAATTTCGAGTGCGCGACAATTCTCGTGCGACAATTCCTCCGCACATAACTACAGTGATCGTTACGGACGCACACTGTCAGCGGTCAGGCAAGCACTTTGATCAATATTTCTCGGTGCTATGTGACTTGTATAACGAGCATCGATTTGTTTGTTTGCGTAAAAACAAGCCGTTTGCGAAATTGTATAGAAAGAGCGTGTTTGGAATTTTATATTTTATTTTTACAGTTTTGTACTTTCTTTTCCATTTCATCTTTTTCTCTTTCTCTATTTATTATATATATTTATTTTATATTTTTGCCAGCGATTGAAATAATAGAACCTGAAAAAACAGGTTTTGCTTCTGTATATGTATTATGTATTGATCCCTTGCTTTATCGTAAATTTTTTATATGTAAAACGAATTGATTCGAGCCCTGATGCAAAAAAGAGGAAAAAATGAAGAGTAAAAGTAGGATAGAGACATGTAATTTAAAATTAAAAGGCGGCAAATTTTTGGATCGACGAGCGAAAATTATGTTTGCGCGCTTAATAAATTGACTATGCATACTATATGACTCGAATGTCCCTGACATTTATGTCGCTTGTGCGATATGTACTATGCATGTGCAATACGTCATTTTCTCGCCAGGTTGAATTGATTATTTGCGATGCGGCGAGGGAAAATGATTCATTTATCATAATATAACATTATGTTATCACAATTTTTGAAAAGAGAAAACATATTTTTTAAGTAAGTCACATAACTTATCATTTATATATATTTTTATATAATTGGTCCACTATGCCAATAAATAGTAGCGGATGGACAGAATTATAATGAGCTATATATATATACACGGTGGACCATTTTAATCCGTCCACGGAAATATCTCCTCAAATAGGGGCGATAGCGGAAAATGCCTCAGACAAAAGTTATATGGTTAAAAGAGGATTATAAAATGGTGTCATTGGTTTGACCTTGAAAAGTCGTTTGAAGGTCACCTTTAATTTTTTAAATGAAACTCCCTATTTTTTATTACCTATTCTTGTAGCTTATCTTTCCAAAACACTATAATTAAGTAAGTTTTCATTAAGTACTTTCCGAGTTATGAGGCTTGAAATCATTTCTTAATTTTACATAAACTGTAAAATATCTTGTAAAATATTCATTTTTCGATTATCTTACATTAATATTTTTATGTACAAAATAATAAGAATAAATTGGTGTAAAGAAAACATATAATTGTTTCGAAAAAATGTAATTTGCAATTAACAATTACATTTTTTTTCGAAACAATTATGTACTTTCTTTACACCAATTGATGATTCTTATTATTTTGTACATAAAAGTATTAATGTAAGATGTGAGATCCACAGAAGCTTGCATCAACATTGCTGCAATGTTACAATATTGCTCATTGCAGTGTAATGTTGCAGAAATAATGCAGAGACATTATTTTGTAATATTTACTTTGGCAATATTGCAGCAACGTGTTTTAGCATAGTGAAAATGTATAACATGTGTTTCTTTACTTGCCGCTACGCGACGACACCCAATTTAACTAACTCGTATTCGAATTCATTTAATTGTAAGATGGATATAAGGTCTACAAAAGATTAATGTAGTAATTATATTTCTTGTCTTGCGTCAGTTTAATTTCTGATAAACTGATTTGGTTTACTTAATATTCTGAATCCTAATGAAGGATCTAGATTATTAAACAAATATAATTTGTTTAATAATCTGGATCCTTCATTGGGTTTCAGAATATTAAACAGATTTTTCTTAATTGAATGGGTAAATAGAAAATAATTCATTTATTGCACATATTAAAATATTCTGGTGTCGAATGTATGTAAAATAATTGTATGTATATATTAGTGAGATAAATAGATGTTTTTTTAAAATCATTTTTTCTTATTTTAAACATTTTTTTTATATTTTCAAAGTTTATTTATTAAATTTAAAACGGCGTCTGTATTTATAGCAAAACGCGTTTTAATATTACAAATACGTTGTACTGTAACATTGCTACAATCTTACATTACAATATTCCTAAAAGCGGACATTTTAACGTTGCTACAATTGCACAACAATGGTATAACAACATTTTGCAGTGAATTTGCAACGTTGCAATATTTTGCGATGAAAGATTGCTGCAATCCAGACAGCACAGGACATTCTATGGATATTAAATTTATTTATCCATTTTACGTCCGCACGCCCACATGGACATGAAATGACCATTCATCGTACATCCGATTCGGGACATCCGTTAACAATATTTGGACGTTCACAAAATGTCCGATCTTGGACGTCAAAGTTTCGCGCGAGCACGCAAGGATGTGTTAGTTCGTTCGTTTACCGCTATGCAACGTGCGATGCGCTATCTTTTTCGTATTTAAGTTTTAGTTATGAGAATTATATAAAGTTTGCAAAGAGTAACAAATAAGATTAAAAATAAACTGTTCAATTTAATTTCTGATCTCAATACTAGAATTTCAGATATTAAATTGATTTTATAGGTCGGACAAGTAAATGTCCGGCAAATAAACGAAAATAATCCGTTCATTACCTATTTAAAATGTAAAGTGCAATATGCGAGTATAAATTATAAATAAAATTTTTATATGAAATTTTATATGAAATTTTCATGTAAAATTTTATATGAAATAGATAAATTATATTATTGTTTAGAGATTAAAACATGTCCACCAATTTCATAAACAGATATACCACGGACGTCCACTGAATGTCCGAAGAACGTAAAATGGATCATCTGTGGATATCCTCAATATCCTTAATGATCATCTTATGGATGTTCTTCGGATATTCGTGTGCTGTATGGGAATGTGTACGAAATCTTTGTGTGCTGTATGGGTTTCTATAAAATAAGAATAACTCTTAACTTCACTTTATTTTAATTATTAATATAAGATAATTAAAAGAATATATTTTATAAATAAGTAAGTAATTTATAAATAACGGAAAAAAGCGAAAGATTAATAAATCAAAAGAAAATAAAGAGCAAAGACAGAATGTTCGTCTAAGGTAATTTACTTTCTGTATTTAAGTTTCGATTGAAATTTATTATCAGAGTTTAATATACAGAATTTTTATTGCGGTTTCTACTTTCATTTTCTAGATCATTTATGTTAATAATTCACGTTGTCTACTTGATTACTGAGGAATTGAATATTTTCTAATTATTCTTTATCCCTAACAGCACATGTAGATACTGAGAATGTTCGAAGAATATCGCAAAAGTACAATGCATATATTCTCAGAACATTCGAGATACATACTATGATATATTAAGTATATACTAAGAATGCTCTAATGTCCGCCTATTTTGGTTAATAGTAAATACTGAGAATATCTTGCAGTATAATTCATATATGTAATATAAATACTTTTGATAAATGCCGTAAACGCACACACTATTTCTCATTTTAATTTCAAATAATCTTTTTAATATTCTAAATCCCAATCAAGAATCCAGAACAACTAAATTACTAAACAAATTTTAAATTAAGTCAGCTTATTATAAATTAAACTGATTAAAAAGAAAAAAGAAGAAACTTTAGAACTCATGTTAAATACCAGTCCTTTATGTCCATTTCACCAAAATTAAACTACGAGTTTGGTAGCGCGCGTAGCGGCAAAATGAGGAAACACATGCAATATTATAGAATATCCGGAAAATATATGAGAAAGAATATACTAATACGCGAGATATTCAAAGTATATTCTGAGAATATATGAAAAATAATATACAACAAGAGATGTTATGGGATTATTCTCAATATATTATATCTGTAATGTATATTTACAGTATAAGTATAGAATATTCGAATGATATCATGTGCTGTTAGGGATTAGATAATATAGGAATCGTTTGGGGAAATTTAGGAAAATCATTTTAATATTTAAGAAATAATATTTTCTTTTTAATAATAAAAATGTATCGAACATTAAGTTAGCAGATCGTAATTATGTTTAATATATATTATAAACGGAATCGATTAGAAATCATTTGGGGATAATATGTTTATTGACACTTTTATTAGGGAAAATTGCTGTTTTGTAATTTAAATAAATTTATGCAACGGGGATTGCCTGATTAGACACAGTACGATTAAACACAGCCAATTATATCAACTGATGCCTAAGGTAACCAGCACGATCAAGCACGATTAGCCAATCAAAGCCAGTTGTGCCCAATTGTACTGTGTCTAATCGGAGGTGTCTCCGTTCCGTTTTACGCATAATGCGCATAGACTGTATAGAGAACCGTTCCGTTTCACTTAATGCGCGCGTTGATAGCGCACAGAATTCCCTGTATCCCCACTACTTCTCGCGCATCAACGTATATCAGCTACCGCAGCTCGAATGTAAAGCGTTTGATGCGTTTGTTATAAGTTTGTAAAAAATAATATAATAATAATATAATTTATAATATAACATATAATATATAATAATATATTATATATAATTATATAATATATAATAATATAATATATAATAATATAATAATATAATAATATAATATAATAATATTTAATAAATATAATAATATTTAAATTATAATTCATTTTAAAATATTAAAATATTAAATATAAAAATTATTTAATATATAAAAATTATTATACATTTTATTTTATTTTTGAATAACGATAATAAGTTACCTGTTAAAATTGATAACGAGTAACAATAATGAGTTGCTTTAAAAAAAAAACGGTAACGATAACAAGTTACTTTTATAAAATTATTAATACTTTTCAATTATGACATTTTTATATAAAATACTTTTTATTATATTATTTTTTTATATAAATTTATAGTGCTTTTGAATAAAGCAGATTTATCGATTTGAGAGCGTCATTGACCAACCATAGCCATATATTTTTTTGAAGAATAAAATAGCTAAAATCGATTAAACCTCCTTTATTCAAAAACGTTATTATATATTTATATATTATTATTACTCACCGAAAATGTTCTTCAAATACTAATCTAGAGTAACCTGGAACAACTCGCTCAACATAATTTTCTATTTTTTTATTAAAAACATTTTCCCCGCGTGTTTCACTAATCATTAATATTAAATACATTAATTCACATTCAACATGTAAATCTTTTGTTTCATTTTCACTATCATCACTATCTTCGATAGTATCACTTAAATCATTTTCTTTAAT